CTCGGCGTGTAAGTGATGGGAGTCGAGGCTGGTAGATGGGAGAGGGCAATTGAGGCCCCGGTTGAGCGCAGGAGAGGCCTGGGCTGGCTGTGCGGCATCTGAGCCATCGCGGCGAGCCGATTCCATCGAGTTTCGAGGGTCGGACGAGCTCGACAGGGGGGTAGGAGGTGGATGTCGACGGGCATGTGCCATATTTGATGACATTTTGATGGGCAGATACACGGCGGCTCACAGTTGGGCAGGCAGGTACAGACAAGTGCAAGGGCAACTTACAAGTCATTAACAACGGCCTCCAGGCAGCACAATGTAGATGGGACTGCTTCAAGGTCGACGTCGACAATGTGGTGGTGGGGATCAAGCAGGGACCTGGAGACCCTGGGGGTTGGTGGGTGGTGATGGTGTAGCGGAAAATTGGCAGTGGTGGTCGGAGGAGAAAGAATGGGAAATGGTGAATCGGAGCCAGGAACTTTCCGTGGCCTGTGCTCAAATGCCTCAGGCCCCCACCACATCCAGCCGACCACGACTAGGCGGTCCAAACTTTGATAGGATGAGTGAGGCTGACCGCTGCCTCTTCGTTGGCTCAACCTCCCCATCTTCATTCTCCCGGTGCATCAGCGTGGTCTGCACATGCCTGTCTGGAGTATCGCAACATGTCTTTTTCACCTTAGTGATGCCTCACCTTATCCTTTTCTCATTGTCACTATTACATGTAACACCAGCTCTCCCATAAATGCGTGCACTTCTCTATAATCCACACACCCGGATTAACTACTGCTGCCGGACACCTGCTGCTCTCCGCCCGGGCTATGGCTGGCGAAACCAAGGTGCCCGTCCAATTTGATATGGATATACTATGACTAAGGCACCGGGCCCCTAGGGATGAGCTGGCGACTAGCAGGTAGGGAGGTAGCTTCCAACCTCACCAGACTTTTGTAATTACTATTGAGAATCACACATCTTTGAACCTAGCAAGCGGGTCTGTTCACTGGGTCCGTTCCAGCTCTGGTTGTGGAGGCAGTCTCTCTTGGCCAGGACGAACAGCTTTTTCCAGTAGCTGATGAAGATTGAATACGTCACTCTCTGCGCCCCGGATTCCACGATCCAGGCGCCATGGTATGAGGGCACCATGACTCGATCGGTTAAGTCGCCTCAGAAACAGGTGTCTGCCGGACGGCCTCTTGATCTAGAACCTCAAATGGCTACAGTGTGCAAACACAGCCAACTGCGCCGTTGAGAATAGCTGTCTTTCTTACCATATAATTATAACAGGCTAGGTACCTCACAGATGCCTTTACCAGTGTCATTTGGGCTTTATTTGGGCTCTAACATAGCATAGATTATGTAGGAAGGATGAATGGGGGAGCTATTGGCCTATCAGTTGGGGTAGATTTTAGCTTACCAGGCTTACCCCCTTTTGCCTTTATGGACCCACGGCGGGATCGCGGGGTCCAACGCCGCACGAGATTTTGCCCTTGCCCCTCCACACAATCAGGCCGACGACATTTTTGAGACCACGGTTTTGACCCACGCTGCCCCTCCTTTGACGACGACAGCCATTTGTTTCCTGCTCTTCTTTGGAGCCATCACCTTCTCTGTCTCAAACTTTGAGGCAGGCTTTTCTTTCCCCATACAACTATTTACCCCATTTTCGTGGAAAACCAGCGCCGTAGTTTTCCTCCGCAACATCCCTACCCAATCCCGGGTCGCGCGTGAACGGCAACAATAACACGATGTCGGACAAACTTACTCGGTACGTTGCGCGCAAGCATAGACAGAAGTCGACATCCCTTTGTTATGCAACCAGAGTTTCTAACAGCCTTTATATAGTGTTGCTATTGTGAATAGCGACAAGGCACGTTCGAGCCCCCCACAACCCCGCCATCAGTGGATTGACACACTAACCCTAGCCAATGATGCATGGGAATAGTGCAAGCCGAAGGTTTGTGCCATATCAGTCCTACTAGATATCTGCAGGATGTACACTAACGAAAGCAGAAATGTCGTCAAGAGTGCAAGAAGTCGTGCCCGGTCGTGCGATCTGGTAAACTCTGCGTAAGACCCTCCTTGTGTGAACATGTCAAAGACCAATAGCTAACAGCATTCTAGATCGAGGTATTCTTTACATTCCCCCAACCACCGCCGACACCCATACCCCCCGCTCTCTAATATACCACGCTTCTAATACATCCACGTTCAGGTCGCCCCCGAATCTCGATTGGCGTTCATCTCGGAGTCGCTGTGCATTGGCTGTGGAATTTGCCCGAAGCGCTGCCCTTTCAGTGCCATCACAATTATCAACCTGCCCACCAATCTCGAAAGCCAAATCACACATCGCTACTCGGCCAACAGCTTCAAGCTCCACAGGCTTCCTATGCCAAGACCCGGAAATGTCCTGGGTCTTGTGGGAACCAACGGTATCGGCAAGAGTACCGCTCTCAAGATTCTCAGTGGAAAGCTCAAGCCGAACTTGGGTAGATTTGATAACCCGCCGGACTGGGAGGATGTTATTAAGCACTTCCGTGGTTCTGAACTTCAGAGTATGACAAATGCCCCAGAATTGCATACGTGGCGAACTTTCTTGTTAACAGCCGAATAGATTACTTCACAAAGTTGCTGGAGGATGATCTGAAGGCCGTCGTCAAGCCGCAGTATGTGGACCAGATCCCTAAGGCTATTCGCGCTGCCGACAAGAGCGTCAAAGCTCTGATCGAGAGCCGCGCCGCAATGGATAACCTAGACGAAGTAGTCGACACTCTCGGTGAGCTCCTACAAGCCAATATCCCTCCTTTCCTGGAACTGCCTTCTAACAGAAACTAGAGCTGCGCCACATTTATGACCGTGATGTCTCTCATCTTTCTGGCGGAGAGCTTCAGCGGTTCGCCATTGGAACCGTCTGCGTCCAAAACGCCGATGTGTGAGTTGCCACCACTCCCTACAATCGATTTTATACTTACCATCACTTAGCTACATGTTCGATGAGCCGTCGTCTTACCTTGACGTCAAGCAGAGATTGAGTGCTGCGCGAATCATCCGTTCGCTGCTTCGTTCTGACGACTATGTGATTGTCGTCGAGCACGACTTGTCAGTTCTTGACTACCTCTCCGATTACATCTGCGTGTTGTACGGAAAGCCGGCCATTTACGGTGTTGTGACCCTTCCTTACTCTGTTCGCGAAGGAATCAACATCTTCCTGGATGGCCATATTCCCACGGAGAACTTGCGCTTCCGTGAGGAGAGCTTGACGTTCCGCATCGTGGATACGACCGAAGAGTACATGGCTGAGAAGTCCCGTGCTTTCCGCTATCCTTCAATGGAGAAGACGCTTGGTGATTTCAAGCTCACCGTCGAATCCGGAAGCTTCTCTGACTCGGAGATCATTGTCATGATGGGAGAGAACGGAACGGGAAAGGTAATAATCCATCCATGGCCGTAGGTTTGAGAGACTGTATGAACTAATTTCAACAAGACTACTTTCTGCCGCCTGCTCGCGGGCGCTCTCAAGCCAGATGGAACTAGGAAGGTTCCCGAAATGAAAATCAGCATGAAGCCGCAGACGATCACACCCAAGTTCGAGGGCACTGTCCGTCAACTCTTCTTCAAGAAGATCAAGGCAGCCTTCCTATCTCCGCAGTTCCAGACCGATGTTGTGAAGCCCCTGAAGCTTGATGATTTCATTGACCAGGAAGTGAAGAACCTTTCTGGCGGTGAACTTCAAAGAGTTTGTCCCGCGACCGAGTTGTCCATCGGTGCATATTGCTAACTTAACTAGGTGGCCATCGTGTTGGCCCTAGGTATGCCAGCCGATATTTACCTCATCGACGAGCCATCTGCTTGTATGTTGAAAACCTGCCACCGTTTGCTCTCTTCAAGTATTGACAACATTGCAGATCTTGACTCGGAGCAACGTATCGTGGCCAGTCGGGTCATCAAGCGCTTCATTATGCATGCCAAGAAGACGGCTTTCATTGTTGAGCACGATTTCATCATGGCAACTTACCTTGCCGATCGGGTCATTGTCTTTGATGGAGAGCCGGGCATCAATGCACGCGCTAACAAGCCCGAGTCGCTCCTCACCGGATGCAACTCCTTCCTGAAGAACCTGGACGTCACATTCCGTCGTGACCCCACTAACTTCCGCCCTCGCATCAACAAGCCAAACTCACAGCTTGATCAGGAGCAGAAGTTGGGAGGCAACTACGTATGTTTGATATTATAAGCTTATACTCGGACCACAGCTAACAATCCCTAGTTCTTCCTTGAAGATGTCGAGAAGAGTAGTTGAAAAGGGCATCCCTAAGGACTCCCACAATAATCACTACAACTCTTCCGACGATGCATCAGGTACTGGCGTTCTAGGCGTTCAAAAGGGTGGGTATTGTAAATCGCGATCCGGCGGCGCCCGGGGTGGCTTCACTGCATCAGAGGAGGACGGTATTTCTGAGGATGACGAGCCAGACATCTAGCATTGGTGGCGGCAGTCTACCCCCTGTTGCCTGGTCCTATCAAGATATGTGACTCCCGAAGGTGGGGTCTTGACGTTGTTTAATGACCCTCGAACCAGCTGACTGATGTTTCTTATGTCGTGGTTCGTTCGGACTTAACATTCTTGGTAGACTGAGGGGCAATGGGTCAAGCGGGTGACTGTTCGCCAGACCTCTCGTAAGCGGCGTGCGAGGGGGGAGTGAAATGCGGAGCTTTTTTGGGGGGCTCACTATATCAAGTTTTCTGGTCAAGAATGGGAATGCAATACGAAATTGTCCTACACACTGGAACTCGCGACTGTCTTATGATGGTGAAACGATGCTGCTGCGAGTTGGGATGTGCTTTATTGCGGAAATGGCGAGGAGATGTGGGTCAACCGTCCGACGGAGAATCGGATGAATACGATAACACTCCCAAGATGCTGGGGATTCCATGACAGAGTCTTGACTCGCTATCCATCCCACAACCCCGTCTATGTGTCAGAATTCCACCTACCTTCAATATCAACCAGTAACCAAGCCCGCATAGCGCAATGGTAGCGCGCTAGACTTCTAAGTTTCTTGACAAGAGTAGTTGTATCTTGAGGCTGTGGGTTCGAGTCCCACTGTGGGTGCATTACACCTCGGATGCAGTCAAGCCTCCGTTTTTTTGTTCCCTGTTTACGGTTGAATGGTTATTGACATGTCGAGGTTCTCCACATCATAAACTTGCCGTGGCCAAAGCATCAGAAATTAAGCCTTTGTCTTTTTGTGTTCTCCTTAAGAATAACGAGAATGTGCCGTGTTTGGTTTGTTATTTTAAGTTCCGAGGCCAGCTGTTTGCAAATGCCACGTGCAGTGCTGTGTTGACACCATATACTTTGTCTCGAGGAACGCCCCCATCGGGGATTATGGATTAATTCAATCCTCGTCAAGATTGAGGTCACCCCCCTGCCCTTATCAGCTACAGCCCCAAGGCTCGCCAGCCCCCACTGGCAAAATACCTAACTTGACCCATAGTTTGGGTATGCCCTTGAAGCCCGCTCAGCTATCAGATTGGGGATAGATCAGTGCTTACCAATGAAGGCCGAAAATAATCATTATCCATAAGGTACTTGCACAATTTATTACTACTTAAATACTGCCAGACAGAGTAAGAAGGTACTGGCCAGTCAGAGATGGGTACGTACGATCAGTCTAACACCTTGTCATTCAAGGGGATTTCGTTCCCTTGATCTGCTTAGTCAAAATACCAGCCCGGATTGGTATCTCTGGCGACTAAGATCCCCCACGACTTGACTGTATTCGCAGTCTCCTCGAGGGAGAACTTGTGAGGAGCGTCCTTTAGTTCTCCTCGATTTCACCCTCCTCACTGCCAGCTCGGACACTGGGCGTCTTCTCCTTCTCCTTTTCCTTTTGAGGGGTCCTAGTTTTGTGACGAACTTCACGCTGAGGGGTAGGCTCACGGGTAGTTTCAATCTTGGCCCTCTTTGCATGCCGGCCATCTCTCCGGTCGTAGTCGTCTTCTTCGGGTCGCGGGCGGCGAGATGAGCTGGGTCTCTCGTCACCATACGGAAGCTCATCAACATCGCGGTCCATTACTCGCCTGCGGTACATTCTTTCTCTGTCCTCCTCGCGGGTGCGCCGCTCTCGATCGTAGTGATTCAGCTCTTCTTGTCGAGATCTGCGGTCATAGTCACGGTCGCGGTCCCTTTCCCTGTCTCTGTCTCGCTCCCTCTCTCGGTCACGGTCGCCGCGATCACGGTCCCGGTGGTCACGACGATCGCGGCCCTCGCGATCTCTGTCTCGCTCGCGAACCGTCTCGTGATGGGAGTCTGTGGACCTACGATCCGATAGCAGGCTTTCTGCCATACTGGACTTGCGGTAGTTGCGCTCGCGCTCTGCGATGGCCTTGCGGCGGTCTGCTTCAAAGATGTTGTGCTCCGGGCTGCGGCTGCGGGCAGAGCGTGCGCTACTGCGATGAGATTTCTCACCTCTGTCACGATGCCCATCGTCCCCACGGTCTTTACGCCGCTGGCGGTCTTTCTCGGCCTCTTCCTCCTTCTCTTTGAGCCGGCGGACATGCTTGTCAAAGGCTCCACGACGCGCTTCCTCGGAGGTTACTGCCTGGAATTCCTCGCTCTGAGCGAGTCGGGGTTTCACCTGGTCATACGTGTCACTGGTAGAGATAGGCGGCTCCAGTCGCTTCATGAAAGAACGAAGATCGTCGAGGGCGCGGCGCTGCTGACGCTCGGAGTGCCTGTCCTCATCAGGGCGTTTGGCCCGCTTCTCCTGGAGCTATTCCCAATGGTTAGTTAATCTCTTGTGTGGGTAGAGACGTTGACCACTTACACGCTCAAAAATGAGTTCGAGTACATCGCGTTCAATGTTAGCTGTGCGACGATCATCCTTTACGACTGCCTCAAACTCTTGGAAGGTTGTCTTGGGGGTGACCTCGAACCGTTTATCCTAAATGATGCGTTAGTAGGTGCGCTGCTTTAGGTTGGGAAACGGAGCTCTCACATCAATGACATCAAGAACATCGTTTCTGGTGCCGCGCAGGGCGCGCTCTTCATCCTCGACGACGTCCCAGAAGAGCTCCGTAGGGGTGGAGCCGGGCTGTCCGGCTAATGCCTTGTACCGCTCATCATTTTCGATAAACTTGTAGATCTGGCTCCACTTCGTGCCTGCTTTGATCTTGCCGTCCCTCTTGAGTTCCTTGAGAAGTACAACATAGTTGTCGCGGTTCTGGCGTTCCTTGCGAAGCTTCTTGTTCTTATCTTCTTGCCTAGAGTCATTGAAAGTGCGCTCCAATGCTTTGACGTGGTTTTGGAAGACGGTCAAGATATCATACTTGCTCAAAGATTTATACTTTTCCTCAGTCCTAAACGGAGGGGTATTTTGAATGGTCCCTTGAGCCTCAGCCCAGCGAGTGTAGGGCTCGAGGTCCAGCTTCGGAAGGAGCTCAATAAGGCCATCCATGGCGCTCTTCCGCAAGGCAACCTGCTGCTCCTTGTGGGCCTTTTTGAGATCAACGACGTAGTCCTCAAAGAGTTGGCGGCGCTCGTTGTCATCATTCGTCGAGCGGAAGATGGTCTCGCCCTCGATGATGGGGCGTGCCGTCTTCCAACGAGTGTAGTGCTTGATCTCGGGATGACTCTTTAGCATGGTCGCGAAATCGGCACGCAGCTTGGTCAGCCTCTCCTTTGCACGCTCCTTGTCTTGAACAATGACATCATGGCAGTACTTCTCGAAAGCGGCTTTCCTGTCTCTGGGGTCCTTAATCGCGCGAAACTGGGGGTCTTTCACGATGGCTCGGAGAGCCTGCTCCCATGTCCAGTCGGGCTGGATACCACTTCGGCGGAGGAGCTTGGCAAAGGCTGCTTCAGCCTCCTCGGGTGTCGCGTACTCGGGGTCATTGTTCGCAGGGACAAAGGCCTGGGCTTGGACGTTATTTCCAAAGGTTAGCTGGCGTGATTCCCCAAGTGGCTCTCGATGTTCGCGATGATGGTCGTACGATCCACCCCCATATCCCCCAAACCCTGCCTGATTGCCCCCACCCGGGGCTGAAAAGGGAGTGGCGGGAGTCCTTCAAAGACGTTAGCAGCTAGTCCAGGCGTTGGTTGGAGGGCGAGGGAGAGGTTACTCACGCAGGCGTAGTTGGAGTTCCTTCATCACCGAGAGCTCGTTTGTAGGCGTCTGGCATCTCCCACGAGCTCTGCTTTGTCTCAGTATTATACCAGTACTTCCGGCCGCCTTCGGCTGTGTACTCCTTCCAGGGCTGGTTCGCGAGAGCGCGCTGCGGAAGGTTAGCGCAAGTAAACCCTGGGTAATGGTTATTTGGGGATAGCTCACCTCGGCGGGCGTCATCATATCCTCTGGTTTGGTCCATTGCGTCACTTTGGTGAGAGGATTGTAGTAGTAGATGCGTCCGTCTGGTGTGCGATGCTCCTGCCAGGTCGCACCTGGCTGCGGAAAAGAGCCGTTCATCGCAATCGGTGCTGGAGCGGAGATATCACAGAGGGATGATACTGCGGTTGATTAAATCGATGCGGTCCTAGATGTTTTTGCGCGATCGACTGGGGGTTGACGTGGATGTGGAGGACGCGTCGTTCGCAGCGTCAACGTCGAAAGAAAATTGAAAGGCCTAGCCAGCCAGCGTGAAAGAGGCTGAACGCAGGGACTCTGCACGGGCCATAATATGACCACAGCTCTTTCTCGGCACAGCAGTCGGGGACCCGTGCTGTGGACCTACCACGACACAGAACCTTAATAATTGGCCCTGTCGCATCCTGCTTGCGTCGTAGCTTCAAGTTGGTCGGCTCCAGAGTCCCGACTAGAGTTTGCCAGCCTTTAGTCCACGCCACCTTCACAACCGCCTATTCGGAGAGCTGCCTTGCTTCCTTCCAGAGCTCCTTTAGCAACAATGAAGTGGAAGCGCCTTGAGCGACTAAGCAGAAACTCTTGAAAGCGCCAATGGCGGTTCCCGATCGAGACAATGCCCACGATTCGGGCGCCCCTTTTCTTGAGCACTGCTATTTAACATATTTTGTCCCCTTCGCAACTGACCTCACTCTCGAGGCAGCGTTCCAGCGCGAAGGGGGTGGCTCGTACAATGATAGGTTGGCCAGCATAGAACAACGGGACCTGCTGTTTTTCGGTATGAGGTTCGCAGACTACTCCTGCCCACTTTTCTCACTTTGCTTATCCGCCTCCTGCAGACGAGACAGTCGATGTATACCTCGTACTCAAAACGGCATGCGCCGACAAACAGGCATTGGCTCCATACTTGCGCCGCCTTGTCATCACGGTCGAGGCGCAGGTCGTAAACACACATGCGGAACGAGAAGGCCCTCCGGCATCCGAGCCCATCTACAATGGCGCGGTTGAACACACTGAGGACGCCTTGGTCATTGTAGATGGTCCTGCCGACGAGGAGGGGACGGGGGAAGAAGAGGAAAGAGAGCCATACACCTACGCTATATGGAAACTCTCGGTTTTTCTACCCCGGCCGAGGATCAGGTTACAAGGACCTTCGATTGTGTTCTCAGCAAGCGCAAGCCTGAAACCATCGGACTCAGATCGCTCCGGCGGGCTGCCTAACGGTTACATGCGGAGCAGCACGCCGTCTGGGATGAACTTGCTGGAAGCCTTTGCAGACGATTCGATGCTGGGGGGTATCAAACCACAACTTTCCGCCCTCAGGGTCTCCAGGGTGGCGCCCGTGACGAAGTCGAAAGATGCGCACCGCCGAATTAAGGGGATGCGGAACCTTCGACTGAAGGTCTGTCTAGTTGTACACACTCGGGTTCGATTTGCGCGGCCCAACACAACCCCACCGAGCCCAGCGTTGATCGCTCTGCTCGAAGTTGACTTTACTCCTTTCTTTGAATGTGAGGTGGCTCTTGATAAGATTACTCTGGCTGTTACGGACAGCACCGTTGAGGATATGAACACTGAGGACGGCATGCGCCTCCCTCTCAGGTGTGTCGCTCATGATCATCTCACAATGATATACAGGCTGGCTCCGCAACAGCTCGATATCGTCGGCAAGAACTCGGCCCGCGATCTCGATATCAAGATCGAGATGGCCGTCCTTGTGCGCCCCGAAGGGCCAAATTCTTGCGTCCCACAC